GATGGCTTCTCCCAGCCCTACCTGCCGCTCCCGGAAGTGGCGCCCGAGCGCGCGCAGGGGGACTCGCTCACTGTCTACTTGGTCATCGCCTTGGCGTCGGTGTCATCGCTCTTCCTCTTCTCTGTGCTGGTGTTCATGGCAGTGAAACTGTGCAGGAGGCGCAGGGCGGCGCCGCTGGGTGTCTGCTCTGTGCCTGAGGGCCACTTTCCTGGCCACCTGGTGGATGTCAGTGGCACGGGGACACTGTCTCAGAGCTACCAGTATGAGGTTTGTTTGACCAGCGACTCTGGGACTAGCGACTTCAAGTTCCTGAAGCCCATATTCCACAATGTATCTCCCAAGAGTGCAAGAGAAGCAACCCATTAAAATGGCACCTTCAGGAATAATTTTGAATTCCATTAATCTGATTATATTGCAGTGTTTTCTACCCCTTATCTATAATTTTCCTGGATTAAGAGTTACAGTGTGTCATGGAGGAAAAGTCCCCCTTGAAGTATAGCTGTGATTTCCCTTCTGTAGTGGAGTTGTTCGCTGGTGTTGTCCAACTTTGGAAAACTCAATTTTACTTTTTTGCATTTTTGCACTGTCTTTACAAATTCATGCTAAGCGTTGTTTTTTTCCTTATATTTTTAGTCTTTTGTATATTTGTCATGGTAACTGGCTTAATAAATTCAACTGGAACTTTGCCTTATATGGTACTCATTCTGTTTCATCCCACTCAAGTTTTTTAGATGTTAAATTGAAAAAAAATCACTTCATTTTATTCTTTTTGTTTTCAAATGAATGCATATGATTACAAGTCCAGTATGTGAGAAACCACAATAAAATGCAACAACATCTACTCTTATTTTGCAACCTAAGCCTCCTTGGCAAATATTTTTTTTGAAAAACTTTTTAAATTTATATATAGCATACAGAAAGCAAAGTGAATGTAATATTCAACTATATGTATTTTCACATGAGCAACTTAAGAAAATGAAACATTTGTATTGCACTCAACACAAATTTCTCCTAAAAATCACTGCGAACCCAAGTATAACTGACATATGTCCTCACCATAGCATAGTTTATTTTTGCCCCTTTTGAATTTATATAAATGTAATAATAGACTATGAACTGCCTTGTGTATAGTTGCTTTTGCTCAATATTTTATGAAATTTATTCATTATTCTGCTTAACTTTTTCATTCTCATTGCTGTATTACTCATTACTTCACTGTATTAGTCTATCAACATTTATTAAAATTCATTGAATATCATCTAGCCACATATATGGGTTGGTGCATGGATTGACTGTTATGAACATTCTTGCAATGTCTTTGGACTTTGCAGTTTTGTTGGACACTAAGGGATGGAATTACTGCTTATTTTGTAGGTACATATTTACTCTTAGTAGACATTTCCAAACAGTTTTCCAAAGTGTTTTTGCCATTTACACTATCCACAACATCTAGACGTACCCAGTCATTCACATGCTATTGTCTGGTTTTTTAAATTTTATCCCATTAGAAAGCATTTTAAAAACTTCCAAAAAAACTCTTACAACATTTATCCTTAATATTAGTTAATATTTTTTAATTATTTTGGATTGAATTGAACTCCCATCCCTTCCAGTTTCATATGACATCAGAAATCCCACTACCTCAGAATATGATCTTGCTTAGAGATAGGGCCTATGAAGAGGGAATTACATTAATATTAGGTGGTTTGTGTAGGCCCTAAACCAATAAAACTGGTGTCATTATAAAAGGAAATTAGGCATGGAGAAAAGACATACCAGATACATGCATACACAGAGATGATCGTGTAAAGTCACCAGAATAAGATCATCATCTATGAGAGAGGCTTCAGAATTTAAAAATCCTGACAACACCTTGACCTGAGACTTATATTCTCCACAACTGTGAGAAAATATATACCTGTGATTTAAGCCACCCATCTGTGGTATGTGGTTATGGCAATCTACAAATTAGATTAGTAGATTAAATTAGTAAATTACAAACAACATTAGTAATTTATTAGGCATTTTTTCTTTGACAATTTACTGTTATGATTGCTGGGTACTGCATTCAAAAATAACTTCAATTATATGATCTTCACATAGAATATACTACTATTTCAGGTACTTCTCTTGTCAAATTGAAAAGTCCATTTATTATCCATTAACAATAGTTTCATTGATTTTTGTATGGATAAAATGCAGACATTCTTATTCTTTCTTTCCTATTTTCCCTTACGTTTTTCAACCTCCTTCAGTGAACTTCTGCCTTTAACCACATCTTGTCTATAGATATGTTTTAGAAACTGAAAATATGAATTTGAATTTTACTTTTTGTGACAATATAAATCATAATTCCCTACAACCAAAAATCACCAGGAACACACTTTATCAAAATAAAGTTGGGGTTATTGATTCTTTGTAATAATGGAAACTGTAGAAAATAAGAAACTGTGGATCACCTTAGTAACAGGGTTACTTTTGTACTACTTATAAAGGAGTTCTAGGATTTGAGTTTGTGATAGGAAATTTGGAGAGGGTTTAAGGAAGTAAGGGTTAGCTCTGGATTAGACGCTTTAAGAAAATGGGAAAGAAATGTATGATTAGCTATTTCACTGAATTTCATTGAGGAATTGAGGAGAACAAGGTGAAATGAAAGTATAATTGGTGAAGAAGCAACATTCACTCATATTTGCAAGGAATTGGAAGTCTTTGGTCATTGTCCTGGTTTGAACAATATTCTTATTTTGGCTTGTGCTCAACCATGAAGTAATTTTATTTTCATTTTGCTTAATTGCTGAGAGCCATAGCTGAGTCCAAATGACGCATGGCATTTTTGCCAGAACTGAGTGGTTGAGAGGCGACACCAGCAAGCCATGGAGATGATAATGGTTATGTTAAGCTGTGTATATTAGACCCCTGCTGACCGCCTTGGCCTGCTACTTTGGAGTTCTCCAGGGGATACCCGGAGAGTTCCCTTGGTTGGGGAAGTACAGGAGGAGGGATTTCTGGAAGCGGGATTTCCAGTTGGTGTGTGGTGTGTCCCGAGAGAAAGCCGAGTGCATGGTGTTGTTGGGAGTGGGAGAATAAAGGAGTTCCTGTTTTGAACCTACAAGGCTGTGTGGCGGCTGAGTTATTTTGTGCCCAGCCAGACTGTGGCACTTAATCAGAATCACCAAAGTCTTTTTTGATATTGGTGTTGGGTGAGATGGTTCATGTTCTGTAGGAGATCTTGACCTACCTGAGAGTGTCAGGACAGTCCCTGGTTATTAGTGGCTGATTCTCTCTCTCAAAATATTGTCCCTTATGCAGTCATAGTACTTGGGATAAGTAACATCATACCTGCTCCTTGGATCTACCATTGTGCTTCCTATGCCATTGAAAAAAGAATGTCCCTAAAATCAAGATCAAATAGATTCACCTTTTAAACTTCTCGAGTTTACCCTACCTCATCTTCACATTTTTTCAAAATCCCAATCATGAATTCAGCTTCCCATATTTTCTACCTGGAGCTTTCTATCTTTTTGCTTCTACAATAATTAAATGTTCTCTGCATCTGCACCAAACTGCTCTCTGGTCTTCATTCTCTCCTATTTGATTTCATTGTGTGATGGGACCCTCATCCCCTTCTTTCCTTTTTCATTCCCTCCCTTTGCTATAGTAAATCCTCAAATGACATCCCCAAAAAGTATGTATAGACAAAAACTTAATATCTTACATGCCTGAAAATGTATTTAGTTTTCCCTAATACTCTACTGATGATTCAGTGAGATAAAGAATTCTTGCTCTGAAATTTAAAATAGTTTATGAATTGATTATTAATCTAAAATTTTTAATAAATCTTACCCAATCTGATTGTTGATCCTTTTTGTTCTCTCTTATTTTACACACATATATAAAATATATAAATTGTATGTATATGCAATATAATATGTGTAATTTCTGTCTCCTTCCTTCCCTCTCAAATTTTAGAATTTTCTATATTAGGAGATTTGAGTTTCACAATAATATTATGTTCTTTTTCATTTATTTTTCTGGACCCTTGATGTATTTATACATTCCAATAATTCACATATTTTCATTTTTGAGATATTTCTCTCTACTATTATTCCCTTACCAATTGTATCCCTAACTTTATCTTGTTATTTCTGAGATTTGAGCTTATCAGTTATATAATTAATTCTCTATTATATTAGAGTTTTACTTTGTTGTGTTTTTTTATTTTATATTCTGACATCTCTTAATTTGAGTTCCTTCTAGTGTATTATTAATTTTGGTGTCATATTTAATCCTTAAGAACTTTGTTATTGAGACTTTTCCAAAGTATCATTTCACATTTTCCACAACTCACTTCATATCCTGAATTATCTATTTGCTACAGAGTCCATTTTTAGTTCTATTTTTCCTTTTTCTTTCATTTATTTCTTGTTCTTTTTTGTTAAATATTTCTCTTTTTTCTTATGTCTTTCGCACCCTGGTTGTCTGTTTATATGTAAAAAAGGATAGAGTATTTGAAGAAGCTGCTGCTTTTTATATATTCTCTGCCTTTGTATTACAGGGTGGTTTCCACTAAGACCTCTATCCTGAATAGAAATTCTGACAAGGTGCTCTGTGAGAGGCAGTGCAGGGCCAGGTTTATAATGTCAGATGTGACTTTATAGTGGGCTGAGATGACTGGGCAGGGAGCCCTTTTCAGGAAGTGATCCTTGATATGCCCAAATGCTAAAGACTCTACTCTGAGATTCCAAAACCTCCACTAAATGTCTTAATGTTCTCTAGAAGATTCCTTTGATTTATTTAGAAATAAATGACCCTTAAGATTTTTGAGGAAAGGTCTTGAGGAGAAATAATTATTAAACTTTATAACCTATTATATATAATGTATAATATATACTTTCTTTGTATTTATTTTCAAATTCATTGTACATATCTCATTTAATCCTTCAAATAATGGTATAATTTTAATGGTATGATTTTTAAAGAGATGAACAAACTGGACTATACAGAAGTAAACCAATTTGACAAACATCATTGTCTTCACCAATTCTGGCTTCTATAATGAAGTGCCATAGGCTGAGTGGTTCATAAATAGCTGAAATTTATTGTTCACAGTTCTGAATTTTTCACTATGAACAATGGTGATACAAGTACATATAGTTAAGTACTATTTGGGTCATATCAAGAATCAGTAAGATATCAACTATAATAGACAATTAATAGATTCTCTAATGCTAAGATGATATAGATGTTAGAATTATCTGAAGAAAGTTTTCAAAACAGATTTAATAAAGTGCTTTAACAAGCAATTATGAACATAGTTGAAATAAATGAAAAATACAGTTTCAGCAAAGTCTGAGTGCAGGGTGCCA